ACACACGATATAACCAAATTTTACGGTTGCACGAGTTCTTTTCATTGACGAAATTATATAAAATATCTATAATTTCTCCATAACGACAAGAACAAGACATTTTATGTCGAACAAAATATTAAGGAAGTGTTCTTTTTAACCGATTGACTCAAATCCGTCAGCAATACGTAAAAGTTACTTACGAGGCAAGGACGTTAAATCAGGTTTATTTTGCTTGCAATAAAAACATGTGCAACAATTTCGTTATTTGACCTCCTTGAGCGAATACACAGAAATGGCTTGATTCAATCACTGCACAATGTTACAGACAGTTTGATATTTGAATTGTATAAAATGGTTTTATGTGACCTCGATAGAATGGGCATGGTTACTACATAGATGTTTCTTGGAGCTCTACATCTAGCAGTGAACTAGCGGACGTATGAAGCGCGTGGCGGCATGTGCCGGCCTGCCCGGTCCGCGTAGCAACGCGCCTTCTCACCTTGACTCACTTTGTACCGCCTGCTTGCATTGCGCTTGCCTCCTCATTACTATTACAAACTTATAATCTTGTTACATTACTGATACTAAAATAACTTTAACAAAACTATATGTTATTGTTTTTATGACATTCTTAAAAAACATATTTAAGGTAATTAAGCGGTAATGCGTCAAACACAAGATATGACTGACGTATCTGTTTACAAAAGTGAATTAACATTCATTTAGAAATAGACAATACGTAGTGTGACTTGACGGAACCGTAAAATTAAGGAAGAATGAGAATTAAATAAGACCAAAGCTAGACAACGACGCGCGTAGCAACACAACGCAAACAGGAAAACGTCATCAAACGGTGTAGAGTCGGCGCAGTGACGCGACCGCTAATCAAATAATTACGCGTTTACATGCAAACTGTATTGACATAAATGATTTTATTACTGCTTATGAAACAATACTATAAAATTAAGTGATCTATGATGACCTGGTTATTTAATTATAGACACAGAATTGTGATTATTCATGTGGGTATAAAAAACAATTGCGTACAGTCAGACAATTTTTTTTTAATTTTCACTTCTTTTAAATAAGAAAAATATTATCTGTAACAACGGTAACAAATTGAAACAGACAAAGTGAGACAGCAATGATTTCTATTCTGTAATCAGCGCGAACGCGAGATATCGCAATTAATCCAGCCGGATAGGCCACAGCTGATGTCCGCCCCGCTCCAATATAGCGATGTACGCTTCACTACAGACTGCAATAAAACAATAATCGACACCTCGGTGGAAATTCTCATGCTTCTCGCAGGATTGTCGCAATTAATTATTGTGCAAATTGATAACACATTTGATACAACGAACATTGCTAAGCCCTGAGTTTTAACCTAATCTAGTAATGTAATAGATATAATCTATAACACTCACCCAAAAAACTTTAAAAAAAATTACAAATTCTTACAAGACGTACATTTAGTTTATTTTCAAACTATACACATGTGTGTCTGTATATCAGGATAAATAACGAACTACGACACAAAGCATTAAATAAAAAAGTACATTAATCTTACAGTAACCCAAAAACCGAACATAACACGCACATAATTTGTAGCCGGTGCGGCGCGAGGCGGCGCGGGGCGTATGAACGGCACGCAGAGTGAATTCGCTATCTCCTGTGAGGATAGGCCGCGCCACGAGGCCGTCGTATCCGATACCGCAAAATGCAATGAAACAATAATGAGATCGTAAATCACGAGATAAAATTTCTTACGATAGGGATAAAAAGAGGTCGAAGCGAACTCGACAACCGAGCTATAAATATTGATCGCCGTCTCCTTGACTCGAATCGCACTGGCATCGACCGGGCCGTTGCGAAATTTCGCCGGCGGCTTACTCATTGTCGCCTACTGCATCTAGTGCGGGTGGCCGCCGGGGCTGTTGCGTCACCACATTGCAATATTTTTATACATAAACAACATATTGCACAGGAGTCGCCTGCGCACTTCGTTCAGCAAAAACATATTGAATTACCAAAAGTATTTCCTATGATCACAAGTCAAGTCAGGTCCACCTTTACTTTTTATACAACTTTATGCTAGCTATTACAATCGTCACATAAGGATTTCAGACAAAAACCTCCTTGAGATTTGAGAGAAATGTACATGCCAATTATAACATGTACGATTGTTACACATATTTAAATTACCTATTATATCGAAACCCCTTATTTATATATTTTTCACCTTGCGTAGATAAATGGTAAGGAATTACATACATTAAGATTAAGATCATAAACTTAAGATTAGCTAATTTTAATTTCCTTTATCTTAGCTATGCTTAGGTATAACGTATGTATGTTGAAAATATATTTTGTATTTTTTTCAACACAACTTGTTTATAATGCATTGGTGCAATGTATGCATTTCGGTTGAAACCTATTTACCGTCAGTGGAATGTCGAGCACGTGATGCAATTGAGGTCATTTGATACCGTTCACGCGGTCAGCAGAACAGCTAAATAATACATGCTCCAAATTACCTGCATAGCTATTACACTAATTATTTTAAATAGTTTTCACAGACTTAATTTGTTACACATAATTTTCATAATTTAAACATGTGACCATTTTTTATTATTAATAGCACCAACAAGGTCACAATTGGTGTTTAATCAAAGTTTCTGTTGTTTGTATTATTTTACAATACTCATATAAAAATACAACTGATTACATTGTTTCTAAGGAAAATTATTTAAAAGCACAGTCGGAATGAAAAATAATATTATTTATTACATCGTCATACTTTATTATAAAGTTTTTGTAATAGTCAATAATTCGCAGAATTTCATGTTTGACTTTGTTGATATTGCAAGGTTTATTAAAGTAAACGAGCTAACTTAAATAAACAGCTATTTATCAAGTTTCCGATGAAGTTATTACGAAATAAAACTCACCGCAATCGGTGTACACACATAAAAAAACAGCAATTGAATTCCGAACCTGCTTCTTTTTGAAGTTGGTTGAAATTTGAAAAAAAAACCTTAGCAGGTTGATTACACTTTAGAGTTCGAAAACTAATGACATTTAAAAGTTACACAGAATATGAAACAAGGCACAGACTGGCAGGACGCCATGTAAACAGAGCACCATATAGACATATAGAGCAACGACCAGCCCCGTACGCAAATAGAATATAATCTATAATTAAACCGTTCAAATACAAACGTAGAGCTTTCGGAGGGGGGAGACCACGTGTCCCCTAGGCGTCAACATTAATTACCACTACTTTTGTTCTTGTATAGCATCACGTTTGGAAAGATTTTATTTTTATACATCTAAAGTGAAGATATTTTTGAAACATTGATAAAAAATTAAGACCCTAAACTAGGCTAGGTTTTACGAACCTAATAACAGTACAATTCACTTTAGAAATAAACAAAGTGTGAAGAATTTTAAAGGTTATTAATTATGGCCACTACTAAATCTATAAACACATTCGAATTTGTACACTAATAGTATAGGAGTGAAATGACAGAACTTTTTCTACTTCTGTTAAAAGCAACTTCATTGCAATAATTTAAGATATTTACTACGTGAATTCCCATATTCCTAGAAACTATAACTCACATAAGCCAATGATTTATCCCTGATGACTGTCGAATGGCACATTGCCAGTTATTGGGTTGCAAGATTAACTTTGACGACACGAACATAACAAATAACTTATATGGATAACCGTTAAATAATTAAACGAATAACAACAATTATTAACAAACCAGTTGGAGTAACACCTTTTTTTCAAGACAATCTTAATTATAATTTAAACTTTAGCGAGAGAATCATAACGTTTTTGCCGTTTCATTTTAAATTATATTTATATCGTTAGTGACCGTATCAAAATATACAAATGATTATTATAATCCCTATAAAATCCTATAAACGTGGCGTAATTACTCGTGGCTTATGTGACGCAGGAACACCGCCTACGCAACTCTAGTTGCACTGTACATTACGCCCACATCGACTAAAGGTCACGGAAGCTACACGCGCAAGTATTGTAAACAGGATAAACTAGGATAATTTAAATGTTATGGGAAACGAATTACAATAAAATACTACAAGATAGTATGCAATAACCAAAACTCTATTGTAATACAAGTATGTTCTAATATCCCGATGAAAATAGTGTGTAATATAGAAACTTCGTAACCTACGCGCAGTAGTAAGTTAATTTTCAAAGAAAGAATTCTGACAAAAAATTTAAAGGTCTGACTGAAATCATTTCATTCAGTTTATAAACTGTGAAATAAAAGTGCAAACCGAGTGTAAGAATTATATAAATAATTGGTAGCATAAATCAAATGTCTATTTACGAACAAAGTTTCATATAAACACAGCCACCTACTTCCAAAGTTAACACGATTACAGCGTGTAAAAATTATAATTCGTTGCCGCAATAACCCGGTCACTATTTCATTGAACAGTTTACTGGTTCATTGAGTTTTTCTTATTTACGCTGCTATAAATTTCACTCCCACACCGCCCACCTCCTAGAATCGTGTCAGAAAACCCACGGCGCGTTCCTAAAGGTCGTACCTTAATATTTTTCACCTTTAGTTATTTATAAATCGTTATCAACTGATTAAATTACAGTTGACAAGATAAACATAGTACTCATATACCAGATGGGCAAACTTAATCTCCGGATGCCATACATAGTAAATGATCACGCTTTACTCTATGCTTGAATAGTAAATATAAACAAACCAACGAAGATTAACGAGATGAATGGATAAAGAATAATCGATAGAGATAACTAGACGATACTGATCGGAAATTCATAACCATTCTACCGTATCCTTCATTTATAAACTTGTAGTTTGTAAGGACACTATTTTATCATACAATTTTGTCATCACGTGCAAGCTTAAATATATAAACATATACAAGGCTGTGTAGTAGCTTCCGTGTTTGTATACATACGAGTATATACAGTTTATATAATTTGATAAATAACTTACCTCATTAATGTGTTTGTATGTCTTGATAAGATCCACGCTGAGTTTCCTTAACGGTGCTGTCGAAGGGTCTCGAAAGTGATGTGGTATCCTCGCTTGCATCGCCTAAACAAAACAAAACACATTAGGCGTTAAATTTACCTAAGAAAAACCTACGCAAGCAAAACAAAATGAAATGCAAAGGTGAAATGTGATGAAAATAGAAAACGTGTGCTTTGTGATATTGAAAAATGATACATCGATAAAATGCTAGTTTGCAGCTATAAGCGATCTACAAAATATAGGCATATATTTAACAGAAAACATAGCATAGATACGAAATAGAACAATCTACAAAATGTGTGAAAGCAGAACGAGAAAAAAAGATTGCCAAACTCAGTACAACAATACTGACATTAATCAAAAGACATGGAGTAGGCGTTACAAGCTATTTTAACACACGAGACGGTTTTAAATACACACCTATTGAATACTATAATAAATTTTGTATCTTTTCACACATAATAATCATCGTTGATCGACATATATCTGTAACTACAATAAACATAAATTATAAGTATTTCTCAAAATTTTAATTCTGAGATTTCATTGCAAAAATGGCGACTGTCTTTTTAGTATAGTAAATCTCAAACTGAGACTATTTACTACTGATTAAATTTTATTGTAAGCATTGATCTAGTTAAGCTTATTACAGTCATATAAATCTATGTTACTATGTGATATTTTCGGCAAGTCAATTCTCATTTTTCTTCACGTTAGCCGCGTTATAATGGGACGCGAACAAAGGCGCCGACGAGTAGTCCACTCATTTGTAGTGTTCATGATGGACGACTAAACGTTTTGTCCTAATGTCTACATTACAAGGGTCGAAACAATCTGGGCTATGATAGAGAAATTTTCTTTCTCAATAATGTGACAAGACTTCGTTATCAAGGAAAACGAAATTTTAATGGAAACCGTGTTACTTTTTTTTATTAAAAAAAGAAAACATTGTTATACAAAACGTGTTTAATTAAATAATCTTGGAAAAATTTGAGCCATACCTCGTCTCTACTTGGGTCTCAATTAGTCAACATTTTCAAAGCGAGTTTCTGCGCAGGTTATTGTCCTCAGACGTCCCTCATACAGTCGCGGTTTGCGATTCAATTTAATTCACTTGCAAGTTGTAGACTGTTTTCAAGGGTTGTTCAAGTATTACATTGTGTGTACGACAACCAATAGAGTCGTTGTTTTGGCTATTATGTATTCAGTATTTGAGCTAAATTTTCTTTTTACCTATCATGTCGTCCGCGTACTGTACAGGACCGTGTGTACAAAAAAATAACGATATATAACGTGCAATTTCTACATATACTGTGAACTTGTTTTATCAAGTTAGGAGTGTATCTGGGCACGGTCCGGTACTGCAAGCGGCGCGCTAACCGCCTCGTGCGTCATTTACCTGTGGGGGGTAACGGTAGCGGCAGAAAGCTCGGGTGTTGCGCGCTCTAGCGCTCACCTGAATGTCGGACGGCGCGCTCATCGAGGGCAGTTGGTCCTCGGCCACCAGCCGCCCGTACAGCGGCACATGCCGCCGCTCGCCGCCCGCGCCCTCCGGCATGCCGCCGCCCACAACGCCCACTGCAATAATTAAATAATCATTATTAGACAGTCAAAATTAAAAAATACACTAATTTCAGCTCAAATATGAGGACACAGATACCTATGGTCTCCGAGTCTTTCCAAATTAAGGGTGAGAAAATCTTAATCAGCTAACTAGTAATATTAAGTGAATTTATCAAATGTGAATGTTTCGACAGTGCCCACTGTTAAGGTGATTAAAAGGTTAGTCAATCGTGTCAACAATAACAGCTAGGTTCTGGCTTATCCACCTGTCCGACGCCCACATGCCGCAGATACCAAATATTTTGTCGTGTACAAAATGATTCATTTAAATATGACTGGTATTTTCAGAAAGTGAATGACTAATTATTTCATAAGAATCGTATCAATTAATTAATAATTTCGGTACTATGTTCAAATTTGTTTTTAAACCGGCGAATGACACATTATCTAAGTATTGTTAAAATTGAAGAAACTCACTATAAAACACAAACTTATATAATAGTTTTAAAGTAACACGAATTAAATGGAAAACATGATTTGGAAAAAATCATTTAAACAAGTTTTCAATAGGTCATTAACCTTTCGTGATGCTACCATAATTTGAAAAATGTTGTCATTAGACACACGTTCTGCTCACAGGCCTCCCAAATTTGGTTGGCTGTGATCACAACAGGGGTGTTCGGGCGTACCAATCAAACTTGTTAAGAACTTCACATTCGAGGTGACGTACGCTAAAACATGTCACTGAACATAATCCTGTACTTTAGGTACACTTCGAAAACTTCAAACAATAAATTTCCAGTTTCACTCTGTGTCGATTTTACTTTAAAAACGTTGGCCTCAATGTCGCTTATTAACTTCATAATGTTACGAAAGAGTCTAATAAATTCAACCTTGTTAGCATGCGCCACTATAAAAAATCGTTTTCATTCAATATACATAAAAGTTGTTACCCAATAAAGTGCATTGTAAAGTGTAGCAGTGCCATTGGGGTTAAAGATAAGTATACGATTGTTATTTGATGATGTTTGATATAATCACTTAGTAAACTTCACTTTACAGTACGTAACCCAAGGTGTGACAGCAAACTTTATCGCTCCAGAGGTCGCAGACGAGTTAATTCAGTCTTATTTATGTACCGTCTGACACAACGTGACATTTCATAATAAAACACCACCGTTCGAGGCTCTCGTTTATTTCAAGGCGAGTTCTCTCAGCAAAAAGTTTGTTGAATGTCTAGTAAGTTTCCATTTTAAAACAAAGTTTAATTGCGACTTTCATTAATTGGATAAAATTATTTTTTCTATACGTAATACTATGACTTTGAAAAAATAATGTCACAAGAACTAAAATACTTTTATTCAATAAGGAGGAAACATTATCTAAAAGAAACCAAAATAAATATTAATTTGGTTGGTCAGATTTTTTGTAATACTTCTGATATCATGCATTGTGACTTAGATTTTGTTTTCTATGGTTTCTTATTGATATGATCATAATTACGGTAATAGAATATATATTTCAGTTATAATATTGCTATGATTAATCTCATCAAAAGAGCGCTATTTTCTTGTCATCGAATAGAGTAAGAAAGTATAACGTTTGTGTTGTTAAGACTTGTCACATTGCTTTGTGCTGCAAGCTACATCATGCATACGTACACGTGTAAACAACTGCGTAGTTGAGTGGGAAACGCTATACGTTACGTGTGTGGACACGATATTATTCAGTCGCCAGTTGCCACTCGGAATGATCATACAATCTCCTACGTTGCATTAAATGTCCACTCATTATCACCTTAATTAAACCTAGTTAATAACAATTAATTTATATGTTAATTACTAAATAAGAGAAGTAATTTATAATTGGCCAAATAAAAACTTTTCATAATGCAACTATACCGTATTAGCAATTAAAGTATTGCGTACCTCTTGTTTACATTTCTTACAGTAATGTGATAATAACGCATAAGTACGTATAGATAGTAATAACATTATGTAATAGGAATTTATCCCGAACGTTAAAACTGTATTACAAAGGGCGTTTGATAAACAATGTTATTATTACTTATCAGCTGATAGGCCTTTTGTCAGATATTTATCAAACGAGTGCTGTGTATCAAAATAAATCAATGTCGTTCGGCGCGTTCTCATAACATCACACGTAACCGGCGGAGTGATGAATGACGTATACACGATTGAAAATCAGGCCGCATCAAAGAATTAGCATTAAGGTCTATACTGTTCCGTACAAAGCGGCGAGACGTAGTCTGCGAGATCTTCTTCGTTTCAAAGCGACAACACGAATAAAAACTACGGAACTTTCGGCAATTTGCAACTCTTCAGTTTGTCGGATGCCTAACGTCTCAAAAAAAGTGTAATGTTCTGTAGTCGAACATGTGATATTTATACAGCGCAACGAGTAATTTCGAACGGAATAAAATTTAATGTAGTGTTGTTTACGGCGTAGTTACTCCCGCGGATCAATACTCGGCTTATTGGATTTCAATGCCAAAGAGGTGAAACATGTCTTTCACCTCACGGATTATTTTGGGGCCGTATGTCAAATTCGGCGTAGAAAGGTGGCACGCGGCGAAAGCGCACGCGATCTCGGTTCCCCAATGGTACACTATAACTAGTTTGCATTTAAACTGCGCAGTAGCGACGACCAGTTTAAGTGGGACCGTGCGATAGTGTTCGATTGTCCCGTTCCATCCGGCAGCGTACGGTGGTCGGAGGGGGGAGGAAGGGCTCGCGTGGATGGCATTACGCAGGCCGACGAACGCGCGGAGACGAGTAGCTACGTCACCGCTGCAAGCGGGTCGGAACCGGCCACGGTGCCGGCCGACAACCTGTGGTAGGTATGCGTGGAATGCGACTAGCCGCCGGTAGATTGGCGTGGGAGGTGCAACATAGTCGGCTTCGTCCTATACGAACCGCAATTGCAGTTTTCAGTATGAATTAATTTAAAGCTACATAAACAATAACAGAATATCTGCCTATTCGTTTTCATTAGGGAAATACTCTAAATAATATTAATACGAATATTTAAAAACTTAGTCATATAATAAAACTAAGCTATTACAATGACCTGACTGGCGTAAGTACGCTTCTTAACAATAACTGCATATTTCAAACCTACAAGTAATAGATATATAAGTTTATTACCCAGACGCGTTATGTTTGCGACAAATTTCCTGTCGACATTTGTTTACATCATCGGCATAGCGCGAAATAGTAAACAAATAATAGTGCGCGTGTGTGACTTTATGACATCCCTGTATCGGATCTATTACAAGGTCACGTGGAGGCCCTAGCTGGAAGTTCAAGCGAGTACGGTTAACGTGTAATAACTGCGCAGTTCGTCGGCCGACACTTCGAAGAATCCATTAAGTCGGCATCCTTGACATATCGCAGGTAGAAGAATACTCGTGTACAAAGCTGCGGCGACACGGACCGTAGCTCTCTCGGACTACTTACTTTGGTGGCCTTTGTCTCCTGTGATCGATATCATCTTTTGCCACAATTTTTACTGAACATAACACAATAATAATGATCACTTGAAACACAACTGTAATACTTAGAGCACTGTTATCGTTCGCCAGTGGCGCGCGTAGGGATCTCGGATCATTTTTTTGATGTCTGTTTATAGGTAGACGGCAGTTTTCATCGCCAACATGTTGCGATATATGTTGGAGCAACGCGAAAGCATAACGTAGACGATTCGGTTTTCGCGAGCGCGTATTGTGCAACAGTGTTTGTGCACGTGTCGATGTTTTTGTGTGTCGGCGCGAACGTTAAAACGCAGCATCGGCGTGTGCCGGCGCGGCAAGCCCGCCTCAACTAACGCGCGCCGCCGCTGATCGCTGTCAGTAATAACCGAGCGGAAGGCCACGTGATTCAGATGACAAACATGCAGGTTTGCTCCACGATAGCCGTCGCGATTTTATCGATGATTCGCGCGCCTATCGACGCAACCGTTTCCTACTTCCTTGTCAGCAATTGATTTAATAAACAAGCTATTTATAGACATGTACGTTTATTTAAAACTAGAGTATATATTTAAACAAAAATTGCGCAAATTAATAGAAATAGAACGTTGGATATAGTTTTAAAATTTGAAATCGTATGTTTCATTTAAAATTTTAATTGAATAAATATGTACAAAGTATACGACTTAAAAACATGCTCAAAAACTACACGAGCGTAGAAACACATACACAACAAACGTTTTTGACATCACGATTTGTGTTTAATTGGTAGTGTTTTCCGTATTCTATTATGTCGATATACGTGACGTCGAGTGTGGCATCGGCGACGGTACAGTTCAACTGTACACCCATTACGACAACAATTCGATGCAATGTTTTCAAATCGTTCCATTGTATTAAAATTATGCAACCGCATCTTCAGTACATGGTCTTTAATACTGTATTAAGATCAAAGTATGCGGCGACAAAAAAATAATAAATGTTCGGTTGTTAAAAAAAATGACCTTTAATGTCTTTCTGATTTCCTCTGTAGTAATCAAAATTATTAATAAATTTTATCACGCTTTTGTTTCCACAATATCATTAATATATCGACAAGTAGATCTTAAAGCAAAAGAACTTCATAGATGTAACACGAAATTTAAGGAATATAAAAAAACTTTCCAGACAAAATAAGTTGCTCCTATACACGGAAACAGTATCGAAAAGTTTTTAAGCGCGATACGTTAGAAGAAAAAGACGAGGTAAGGGCCCGCACTTGGAAACATTCGTGTGCATATAAAACTACACGAATTCTTTTTTTCCGTCGGCCGCTGGCAGCTACGCAATTTCTCCGATTGTATGCAAATCCTTGGCGCAAACAAAGAATGAAAGAGCACCCGGCGCAGACGTCCGCCCGAGCCCACCTGTGCCCCGGCGAGGCGGCCCGACTGCACACCGGGAGAACTAGCGCCCTAAACAATCTCACCGGGATATTATTCACGAACGGATCTCATCTCTTTACATATCGAACGACGTCTTGTCG